AACAGAGGGCATTAACAGGACTTTACCCTTATATAGGAAGACACCCAGACAGGAAGGAGGACGTCCCAACCATGTGTGTTATTCCTACAGGGTCTGTTCTCCAAGCCCAGTGGCGCTTTGCCTGTGTCAAGTCCCACCATGGAGCATCCTTTGTGAGCAGCACAGAGCTTGGCTGTCTGCCTGCTGGGTGCTGCCTATACCATCTGACTTGTCCTGTGGCCGATCCTGCTGGCAAGCTTCCTGCCTTGTTTCACTCCTGTCCTAGGGGGATTTCTGCAGGGCAGAAATGAGTGGTTTGTGTAGTTGCTTTGTAGAAAGCATCTGTAACTTTGAAGTGATGCTGTTCTCTGTGTGTGTATAAACCCCTCCAAACCGTTTTCTTTGGAAATATAAATAAAATGTAAAGCTTTGTGCAGATGTGTCCTGTGTTTCCTACCAGCTGTCACTCCTGTCGAACCAGCGTCCCCCAGCACATGAGGGTGAAGGACCTTGGCCACCAAGGCCAGGCTCCAATGCAGGGAAATGACCTGGGTTTTTTTTTTGGCAGGGCTTTGAGATTAATGTTCCCCCAGCTCTCTGTCTCTCCCACCTTGAAAAACCTTGGTGTAATCCTACCATCATTCTGTGCTTGGTTCTGGATCCCAATCTGCTCCCCAGCATCCTTCCTTCCTTCCTGCAGTATCATCTTCTCTCCTGGATTCCCAGCACCGTGTCCTCTCCTGTTGGAGCAACCTGTTTGGAATCTTCACAAGCCCCAGCAAAACAGGTGAGGCAGATCTGCTTCTCCTTGCTCAGTCATGACACACTCCAGAGCTGAGGACAGAGGAGGAGGTGGAGATGCCCAGCTGGAGTAGGAAGGCAGGACCTTGCTCACGTCTGATCACTGTGAACTGTGGGGAAACCAGGGGCAAAGCCCTCACTGGGTGGGTGGGGAGGAGCTGTAAGCTCTTCTCAGGAAGGTTGGAGCCTTCAGGACAGGTTGGGTCCCACCTCCAAGTGACTCATTCCCTCCCAGATACACCACCCTTGGGAAGTCCTATTGAACTGGGCACTAGAGGAAAGTGTCCCCATATCTGTTCAGGACATTTTTAAAAAGCTTCAGCTGTTGAAATAGTGCTCCTTTGGCTGAACAAACACTGGTTCTCCAACAACTTTCCACTTTAGATTATAAAACTGGAGATCTCTGAGCATCTGTGGTGAGAGGAGGACTGCCACCATGCCCTGTGCTGCAGGCTCTGGTTGTGTTGTTCGTGTTGGTACAGGTGCTTGCTGAATCCGCTGTAACACAAAAGTGAAATAACATCCTTCAGGCTGAAATCAGAGACTCATCAGCTCCAAAAACCTCCATCTAATGATGATCTGCAGATGTCCTGCAGATGCTATGCTTATTTCCTCCACTCACCTCCAGGCAGCTCCATGCCTTGCTTATATATTCATGTTGACCCCTTTAGCAGGGTCCTGATTGCTTGGCAGCAATTGAAGATCTACAGCACTGTAAAAGGAAGATAAGAGCAGGACCTCCCTGCCTTGCTTTTATTTTAGTGAAACTCTAATTGCACAGAAAATAAAAAAGAAAAATTGTTGTGCTGTTTAGCAGTGGAATGTACTGTTGGCAGCTCAGATCTCAGATACAAGCCTTCAGCCATGCATCCTGAGAAGGTGGGTGGAGCTGATAAATGGCTGGAAGGCACCTGTTAGGAATGCTGACAGTGTTTGCACAGCACATGGTGTTTGATTTAGGAGTGGTTCTTGAATGCTGAGTCTCTTAAACAGAGGCTGACAATTGAATATATTAAATAACTAAATACTTTTATGGATAGTACTATTTTCCAAACTGATGTGCAGTCACAGAATCACAGAGTGGTTTAGGTTGGAAGGGACCTTAAAGGTCTCCCAAACAGCCCTGCCATGGGCAGGGATGTAACCTACTGGATCAGTTTCATCAAAGCCCCATCCAACCTAACCTTGAACACTTCCAGGGGTGGGGCAGCCATAACTTCTCTGGGCAACCTGTGCCAGTGCCTCATCACTCTCTGAGTAAATGTACGTATGAGCACAGAGATGTTCCAGCTCATGTTATATAAATATTTATACAATTTTTAAAAAGCACATATTTATTGCCCACAAAGTCACTGTCAAGTTATTCTTATTTTGTAAAACCAAATTTCTAAGCACTAATATGATTATTCCTATGCTTCATTATTGTGGTTGCTCATCCAAGGTCCAGGCACAGGCTAACTCTTTTGTGAAAAAACAGGGATAGGATATCCAGTCCCTGCCTGAAAGAGCTTACAGACTAGGAAATATCCCTTTTACATCAAATAAAAATGATGGGCAGAGGAACCAGACCAGTATATTCATCACACTGAAGGACCAGCTGTGGTTAGTGTAGCAGTAGAAGAGAGTTGTGGATGTGAGCTGGCAACTATTCCTTTTACTAAAGTGGTAAGGATTTCTGTTGTGGAATTGAATGCCATTAGCCACCCTTGATTCTGATTTGGGGAAATCTCTCAGATGAGCAAGGAAAACTCATCTACTGCCCTTCATCCTGCCCACATGAAAAGCTTATGTGAGCAGAGAGGTGATGGTCCACCTGTCTTTCCAGCTCTGCAGCTGCAGAAGGAAATGTTACCACCTCCAGCATTGAAGACATGGTGGATGTGAACTCTGTTAGCTATATTATCTGAAAAATCTACATAAGCCAGGCCAACGAATGGGATTTGCAGCCCTTAGATGTCCAGGACACGCAGATCTTCCAGATCTCCCTGTTTTCCAGTAAGCATTAATCTTTTAAAATTTATTACAAGTCACGAAGCCTGGGGTCCCAAGCAGACCTCACTGGTGCATCCACTGGTGCACTACCAATTCTGCTGGTCTGGAAAAGGGAAAATTCAAGCATTTCTATTCAAAGCAGCAGAGATAACTCAGAGAGAGGTTATCATTGAGGATCTCTGAGGATGCATAAGAACCAAAAGCAAAATGTAAGATGAGTTTAATGATAGGTTTACCCAAATGCACAAAGCGTTCAACTGGGCCCACCTTTGAGGGAGCCTTTCATCAGGACAGGCTTCAAGGAAAGTGAATCAATCTAAATTCTAACTGTTTTTCCCTTCATGCCTCAAGCTCCTGCTCAGATCAATGACGTCTTCTGAGAGGATACAGATCCAGCAAAACCCCTGGGGTATTCAAAAGCAACAAAGCTGGTGTCCATGAGCACAATGTAGATTTTGTGCAAATTATTTCCTTACATACCATGCTGTCAATATTCATAATTAACATCTCCCCCAGGAAAACTTTTAGGAACGCTGTATTTGTCTGAGCTTTTTCTTTTAGTTGCTGGCAAAGAGGAGCATCTTGAAACAAAAGAGGGTAAGGCAAGGTTGGTAGAGGGGTAGCACCTTTTCCTAGACCAACAGAAACGGGAAAAAAAATGGAAAAAAAAAAACCCAAGCAAGATAAAGCAGAATCCGACAGACATGGGAATGCCTCATGTGCCCTAAAACATGGATAGTTTTATCCATCTGTATCAGCTGATCTAATAAAAGATATTGTCTCTCATTACAAACATTAAGTTACATCTCTGGACAATCATGCCCATGGCAATATTGCCACCATAATGAAACAAAGACACAGAAGTGATGAGTGACCTGAAGACAAATTTGAAAGCAACAGTGCACTTAAAGTTACCTAGAATGAAATAAAGAAGACCCTGCAGGACTGTGTCTGGTTCTGGAAAGGTTATTTAGGCTAGCTTTAATGCAATACTCTGTGCTTAATAAATTAACACAGACAGAGAATCATCACAGAATCACAGAATAGTTTGGATTGGGAAGGAACCTCAAAGATTATCTAGTTGCAACCCCTCCGTCCCTGCCATGAGTAGGGACACCTCCCACTAGAACAGGTTGCTCAAAGCCCCATTTAACCAGGCCTTGAACATTTCCAGGAATGGGGCATCCACAGGTTTCTCAACCTGTGCCAGTGTCTCATCACTCTCACAGTAAAGGATGTCTTCCTTATATCCAGTCTAGATCTCTCCTCTTTTATCTTCAAGCTGTTCCCCCTTGTTCTGTCACAATGTGCTCAGGCAAAAATTCACTCTTTTTTTTATAAGCCCCCTTTAAGTACTTTCAAGTTCACCTTCACTACATCCTTGTGAGTGTTTTGATTTTGTGATACTCTTGCAACCACTAAATCTGTGGTGCTGGCCACATTCTATATTTGGTGGATACAGGATATTAGAAAACAATGTCATGAAAAGATAATAATCAAATATTTATGGCCAATTGAAGAGTTCTCAATCTCTGCTCAAGCAGAGATCCAGGTTTGGTTTTATTTATCTTGCACAAATTACTCAGTGCCCAGAGATTGTATAGGTGAGGAAGAAAGTGCCACCATCTTGGACAGATTGTAGACACCCTGTAAATCTGTCATCAGTGTGCATGAAAAATGGTATCAGTGAAATTGTTTGGGATAAACTGTGCTATAAAGCAGCAGTGGAGGCATGGAGGCATTTTTGGCACGGAGGCCAAAAAGCTGTGAAAGTGTTTACTGGTTTTGATGCAGCCAGTTGTCACGGCAGAGGTGGACACACAGGCACACCTCACGGGGCTCATCGGAGGAGCCCTGGGCCTCCTTGGAAGGGATTATTCAGCCCTTAGTCACCACTCTGATAGCAGCACACGAGGTGTGTGCTGGCAGCCAGCCCCAGTCCACCCTGCACCTTGCTGGCTGCCAGAAAACTAATGAGCAAATATTTCCGCTTTCAGGCTGTCCCTCCCCTCTCCCTGCACCTGCAGCAAGAGCCAGGGCTCTGCCTGGGACAAAGTGGAACCTCCGTGGCAGCGGCTGGGCTGGGAGTGGGGAAAGGCGACCCAGCAAAGAAAGTCCAAGCAAAAGAGGTTTGGAGAACAGCTGGAAGCCATCCTGCGTGTGGGGTAGGACACCAGCACTGAGCATCAGGTTTGCCCAAACAGCTGAGTCCTCAGCTCCTGGGGAAGATGAGTATTTCATCGGAGCACAAGCCCCTTGGGAAGCAGGTCGCCGGCAGCCTGCATATGGTGAGTAAGGTATGTCCTCAAGGGCACAATTCCCTCATGCAGGATCAAAGCACCCCTCCATGTAGCCCTAATGGGCTACATTTGAGTGGGTTTTTTTCCCCCCATATGCTAATCTGAAGACACTAGGCCTTGCCAAATTTCCCTAAGAAAAAGATTCTAGTTAAAAACTAGACTGACTCTGGCCTTTTTGCACCTGTTGTATTACAGGGGGGCCAGGTCTCTCACAGGCATGCAAGATCTTACAACAGCAAATAACCAGAGCAGTTCTCCTTTGGCAAGAAATGGAATTCAATTAACATGAACTTGAATTGGTCAGTTCCCTAAATAGAACAACCCTGTTGTAGGTTTTGGGATTTTGAACAAGTCTTATGAGTCTCTAATGATGCCAAAGCTGCCCTGTGTTGTTGACATGAAGGATCATCAGGTGGGAGCAGTAGTTTTTTCTAGCTATAAGGAAAATTAATGGTGGTCTCAGACAAGCAGCATGTTACTAAGCAGAAATCAGTGATGAGATAATTTTTTTTAACTCTCCTCTACCCTCAGTCTATTGCTAACCAGTTTGTCTTCTTGGCTAAAGATGAGCAATCTCTTCTCCAGACCTCTCTGTATTAAGAAAACCCACTTGCACGGCATCCTGTGTTGCACTTTTCAGATGTAAGTTGCAAAATGCTTCCCTATGGAAGTAACTGTTTTACAGAGTAGTAAACTGGGGCACAAATAGATGGATTTGCTTTCCTGAGTGTCACCTTGCTGGCTAATTACAGAACTGGGAATCAGCTGATGCCAATACTTCCAGTCTGCTGAGAACCACTTTGATGCCAGGCTAAAACCATTAATCAAGCTGTAAGAACATGAAGTTTGTTGGGCTACTGTATTAAGGAATAACATGTTATCCATTTGTGTTAGTGACAAACAGCATGAAACATCTGACCTACCATCTGAAAATGGAGCAAAGGCTCAAAAGCCTGAGACTCTCCTGTCAAATTTTCTCTGGTGGGGTGTGCTGTTTGTAGCTCTTGGACTATCAGCAAATCTCCTAGGGAGAGACCTGACTCCAGAAACAGCTGTATTTTTCAGTAGGTGGAAATCACAAGATAGTCTCAGACAGAATAGTGCTTGTCATCTTGACCCAAGCGTAAATGATTGCTCTTGAGTTGAAACTACCCACACTAGTGCAAAGCAATATTCCAGTAGGGTCTTTGCCTGAATCTCCTGTTGCTTCCCTGGCTTGCTTAGTGTGTGAGCAAATTTCTGCTAAATCTGATAGTTTGCTCCTGCTTAAAGGGAAGGTGTCCCATTGCACCAGGCTGTCTGTTCCTTGTCCCATCCTTTTGTCAGCTCTGTGCTCATTAAATCCTCTGTCATCCAACCCAACTCACTAAGGTGAAAGAGAAGCAGAGTTGGCATGAGGTGAGCAAGAGAGCACATAGATAGGTACAAGAACAGGACAGGGAGAGGGCACAGGCTCCCCCCCTTCTCTTGGTGTGTGCTATGAGATCAACTCGCGTCATGCCATGGGTCTGTGCCCATGTGATGCAGCTAAGCACGTAAGTACACACTTCACCTGAGGCATGTGACCAGCAGCACTGAGGCAGCTCCTTTTGTGCTCAGATCCAAGAAAGTGCAGGTGAGCTCCTGGAAAATATGGTTGTTTATTGACTCACGCCTTCCCAATGGCAGGTGTGGCCCTGGCCTGGCTTGTGACTCGCATTACAGTAGTGCTGGCAGGAGGAAAGGAACTGTCTTCTTTCTTTCTTCCCTTTTCTTTTCACTTGCTGAGTACTACATAAAATGACCAAGTGCGAAGGGAAGCTGGTAAAATTTTTCAGAACTGAATATACAGGAAGGCCAATTTTAAAAATCCAGCTTTCCAGGTATTCAGGCCTCCTTCAATTCACACAATGGTGTTAATACAGAGGGTTTAAAAATGCAAACAAAACCACAATCTTTACATTTTTTTCCTCTTAAGTCCATGTCAGTTGCATGAAATATTTCCTTTACTTCCTAACTAAAGCCATACTTTTTAAGGTGCTTTGCTAAACAGCTTCTGTCCTTCACCTCCAACATTATGGATTTTTGTGTCTTCAGTGTTTGCAGCTGAACCCTCAGATGAGTGGAAGCCAATTCCACCCATTATAAAGAGCTTTAGTTTCTCCTTTGAAGAGGAACGAACAGTTCAGATGATAAAAATGAAGTGGCACAGCTTTGGGCTCTATCTTTGTCCCTCTGCACAAGGGGTGGGTGAGAGTTGCTGTAGGTGGCCCACAGGGACAATGCTTGTGAGTGACTTAGGAGATCAGTGTTGGATCCTGTAGTCACTCCCAGATTTCCTAGGCAGGGTACTTCTTTTCCGTCTTTCCCACCAGGAAAATGACACTTTCCTACATTCCAAGGATGAGGTGAGGACTTTGTCATTTAGAAATGTCCAAGTCTCTGCTGCTTAGGTTGTGAGAGTTGTATTAGCATTCTGCAGCTGCTTTTTGCAATAAATCAGGTGGAGGTTCCCATCTGATACCCACAAAATGGGAGCTCATACTGCTCTTCACTCATTCCATCCTTCAACCACAACAATCTGCCTTTTCCTTGACGCTTCCATGTTGATGACCTCAAACTGATAATGAACATCGCTTTTCACTTTTTTCTTTTTCAGTTGTCACCAATTGTGGAGTTAAATGTTGGTGGGGAGATGTACACGACAACACTGAGCACCTTGAAGAAACACCCTGGCTCTAAGCTGGCAGAGATGTTCACCGGCCAGCCCAAACTCAGGACTGACTCTGAAGGGAGGTTCTTCATTGACAGGCCAGGCACCTACTTCAAATACATCTTGGAATACCTGCGCAGTAACCAAGTGCCCACCCAGTGCATCCAGGACGTCTACAAGGAGGCGTTGTTCTATGACATAGAACCTTTGATCAAGCAGCTTGAGGACTCCCCACAGATCTTTGGGGAGCTCGTGGCGAGGAGGCAGTTTCTGGCTCGTGTGCCCAACTACAGCGAGAACATCGAGCTGATGATCCGCATCGCCAGGGCGGAAGCGGTTGCATCCCGACAGTCCAGCGTCATCGTATGTGTGGTCAGAACCGAGGAGGACGCAGCCAGGTGTCAGGATGTCTTGAACAGTTTGGACATGGATAAAAAATCTGTGGTGAAGTTTGGCCCCTGGAAGGCTGTGCCCAGTATTTCTGATCTGCTGGACTGCATTCAAATGGATGTTGAAGCCAAAGGGTATAAAATATCCTTTCAGCCCCATGTTGCTGAAAAAGGTTTTCGCTTCAAATCGCATGACTTCTTCTACAAGTTCCTGTTCACCTGGTGGTAGCAAAGTGCTGCCATTGGTAGGGAACATTAGAAAGCAATCACTGGAACAAATTAACCTGGACTGTGGAGACTAAACGACGAGCTACCAGAGGGACAGGAAGAAACGCACAGGCCAATGAAAGGATCTCTTTTGGCTGTTTGCCATATCAAAGAGCACTTAAGAGCCACTTTACTTGGGCTTTAGGGGATAACTTTTTGGGGGATTTAAAAGGCTCCAGAAAAGGGACAAATTTTACTCTTCAGTGTTGCTTACTATTCATTCAGTTCAAAGAGATGGATCTGTGAATAGAGCCAACCTCACTCAACCTAAGGGAAATGAATAATCCCAAATATGTCTTGTGAACATGTAGAGTTGCTCTCTCAGTGCAAATGGGAACAGGTCATATATGTGGAAATCCTGACTGAAACAGTGATATTACCACATACTTGAATTAAATTTGGTTTCTAAATGGGAAGGCAAAAGCTATTTTTCTCTCTCCTTTCTACACTATAATCTGGGTTAAAAGGAAGGATTCAGTTCCTCTGATTGCTTCTTATTCCTCCAGCAGACAGCCTACTCTCTACTCAATGTATTTATTACAATTATTTATTATTTGTTCTGAAGGAAAGACGGAGAACCTCATCTACGGTCCATGATCAACAAAAGGCAAAAACATCACTGATGTGAGGAGTTTATAATCTAAGGACACACACTCCTCTTTCAGACCACACAATCTTAATCTCTTTCTTATGACACTCATTATTATTATGATGCTATTTCTAACTACATAAGCTCCTGGAAGAATTGGGAAAACCTGGCACGATTTGGTGGGAAGGAAGTGGTACTGAAGCAACAGCCTGCAAATTCTCTTTTACAGAACACAAGTTGCATTCTACAATGTGTTTTTAAAATTCTTAGAATTTGAAAGTTTATTTTTATACTGGAGATTTTTTTTAATCACTCTGAGAATCATAATGGTTGATTTGATAAGGATCATATTTCTTTTACTTCTTGGAAGATTAATTTCTTCCAGTCAAGGGCAATAACCATAGAATCATAGAATGGTCCCTGAGATTTCAAAGGAATAAATTTTACAATTTTTTTGGATGATGCATAAGTGCTTTATTTACTGACATTTCCCCCTCAAGATCCCCAAATTCTAAAGACCTGAAGTTTTGTCTTTAGGGAACAGATTTGAACCATTCCTAATTAAGCTGTGTTTCAGATGTGCTTATCCTAGCATGGACTTCCCCCCAGTGACAGCCATGAGTCACTCCAGCAACTGCGGGGCAGTTCTGCTGTAGGGGTGAAGGGACTCTGAGATCTGTCACATTCATTGCCTTGTTAAGAATGGATGCAGTCAGTGTCTGAGAGGACAAAATGTTTAGGAAATAGGCTCTTTTGATCATAATCAAGTGGTTGGTGGTGCTCAGCCTGGAAGAAGAGAGATTGAGGAGGCCTCCCAGTAGACAAAAGGCTGGTTTAAAGAGATCTGTTACACTTTGTACATACTGAGGGTGGGGAAACTGGCTTAAGTCACAACAACAGAGATGAAAATTAGATATTAGGAGGAAAAAAATCTCAGCATAGAATAGTTAAAGCCTCACACCAACCAACCTCCTAAGTCTCTAGGACTGCTGCCATGAGAAAATTGAATTGGTACATGCTTGAATCCTGCATTCAGTTTGGTGTCACTCACTCTAGGAAGGACATTGACGCCCTGCAGTGTCCTGGAGAAGGGCAATGGAGCTGGTCTGGAGCACAAGTCCCATGAGGAGTGGCTGAGGGAGCTGGGGGTGTTCAGCCTGGAGAAAAGGAGGCTCAGGGGGACCTTATCGCTCTCTACAACTGCCTGGAAGGTGCTTGTAGCCAGGTGAGAGACAGGACAAGAGAAATGGCCTCAAGTTGTGCCAGGAAAACAATCAGGAAAAATGTATTCACTGAAAGGGTGGTCAGACATTGGAACAGGCTGCCCAAGAAATTGGTCGAGTCCCCATCCCTGGAAGTGTTCAAAAAATGTGCGGCTGTGGCACTTGGAAATAGAGATTAGTGGTTGGCTTGCCAGTGCTGGGTTAACGGTTGAACTCCATGATCTTATAAAATTTTTCTGACTTTAGTGATTCTACTACTCTGATGGAAATAAATTTTCTAGTTATTTTTAATTAATTTATTAATCATAAGCAGTATATTATTTATTAGCATTGCATTAGTCTTAAGTCACTTTTAGCCAGCACGTAAGTAAGTTTCTTTACACAAACTGATATTGATAAGAGTTGGATTGGGAAAATCGCTGAAACTTTAAGTTTTGCTAAACTAGCCCTGATATGCTTTGATGAACAAAACCTGCGAGAGATGTATTTTTGAAAGTGGACACAAAAAATGCGGCATTTATAGAATATAAGGGAACTTTGCAGAAACCAGAAGATAACAAAGATTCTTCAGGATGTGCTGCAACACTTCCTACCTGGAGTGTTGCAGCACATCCTACAAAGAGTCTGAGAAATGGGGGCTGATTAACGTGAGAAGGAAGAATAAATAACCAATAGAGGACAGAATACTAATTAATGAAGAGAATTATTTAATAGAACTGATGAACATTGTGAAAAATGCCAATCATTTGATTTTTAAAATGTTAAAAGTTTAATAATTATAAAATGGTTATAAAATAATAATACAATTAGAGTAATAAAGTTTAGAGTTAGAACAATTACAAGACAATAAAAAGCAAAGAATTACGGATGTCCGGATGCTCTCGGACACTAAGTCACAAAAAGCACGTCTTGTGAACAAAGGAATTACACTTAAAACAATACACTCGTTGCATATTCATATATCCTTCATGGTTATGCATTTAAAACAAGAAACTCTGTCTGTTGTATGCCAACTGTTTCCTTTAAGCCCCATGGCATCTTCGAGTCTGAGCAAGGCCTGAAGAAATTGGTTTCTTCTGATAAGAAGCCACAAATTCCTCTCCTTTGGAAGATTTAGGCGTTCCTCGAAGCAAGTATTTAATTTCTAAAAAAAACAATTCCCCCCCCACACATAGTCTCTATTTTAACATTATGTTGGAACCTAAAACTATATTTAACACACTACGTAAGAGAATTAACACAGCATAACTTTCTAACATTACACATACAATATTCACGGTAATATTTGCGAGAAGCCAATCGTTAAATACGCATTTTTCAAAAACATCATTTCTTTGCTCGCTCAAAAAGCACCCAGAGGTGGCACAGCCGGGTTAAAAGCGAGTCCCAGCGAACGGCGGGCGCAGCTGTCGGGGAAGCCGCGGGCGGACGAGGCCGCGCCGCCCCTCCCGGCGCCTCCGCGGTTCCTGTTCCGGCTGCGCGGCCGCGCCATGGCGGCGCACCTGAAGAAGCGGGTGTACGAGGAGTTCACCAAGGTGGTCCAGGTAACACATCCCCCCCAGGCCGGGGTGGCGGCTGCGAGCTCTGCCTGCGGCGGGAGCGTGAGGCGGAGCTGTTGGGAAAGCCGGGGCTCGCCGGGGCCGGGGCGGCCCCCGAGGGGTCGGGCGGGAGCGGGCCGGGGCGGCCCCGAGTGCTTGTGGAGTCTCCCTCACTGGAGATGCTGAGGAGCGGTCCGGACACTGCAGTGCTGTGCAGCGTGCTCTGAGGTGAGCCTGCTTGAGAGGGAGCTTGGGCGAGAGGACCCGCTGTGGTTTCTTCCAGCCGGACCCGATGTGTTGGTTCTTTGACCTGAGCAGGGCCGTCACTGCTGCGGGGAAGAGGAAGGAACTACGGCGAGTTGCTGGGCTGCTCCGGGCCGGTGGGAGTGGGAGAAGTCGTGTTGGCCCCGGATTAGTTGTTTGGACCCAGCCTAGGGTGGGGAGAGGCCGTGTTTCGCGGGGACAGCGACCACCTGGGCAGGACAGTGACAGCCGCTGTGGTGCGAGGATGTATTTTTTCTCAGATGGATGAAGGAGAGTGACTGCCGTGGGACATGGCAGCTTCCTTAGGCCTCCCCGTGTTCAGTCTGGGAGGAGTGGGTCTGGATACACTGTGTTTCTGAGCTCTGTCCCTCTGCCCACAGCAGCAGCATGAGGACCTGTCCACTAAGAAGCTGCGGCTGACCAAGCCCAGCAAGTCGGCAGCGCTCCACGTGGACCTGTGCAAAGCCACCTCGCCCGCAGATGCCTTGCAGTACCTGCTCCAGTTTGCCAGGAAGCCTGTGGAAGTGGAGAGCGTGGAAGGGGTTGTCAGGATCCTGCTGGAGCATTATTACAAGGTGGTGAAGCTGGGAGTCAAACATGCTTGCTCCTTCTATTCCTGTTTGCTTGGTGTGGGATGTTGAACAGGGGCTCACAGGCTCCTGTGTTGCTGACTCAGTTGCCACCAGCCTGGGCTGAGAGTGAGCAGCTGTAGCCCCTGACCCAAGTGATTTCTGATTGTGATACTTGATGTCTGTGCTGATGGTTTCACCAGCCTGTGACAAGTTATCTCTGCACGTGGCTTGTGTGTAAGTTAACTTGGCGAGGGACAAAAGACGTGTCAAGTTTTCCAGGGAGCCCAGCTGCCTAGAGCTGTTTCAGCTTTATACAACACTTTCCTGACTGATGTGCCCTTACCTTGTTCTTAATCTTCTCTAGCAGTGGAGAAACCTTTTAGTTATTGCTTATGTAGTAAAAAAGAAGCACTTTTAAAATCATAGACTCATGGAATTGTTTGGGTTGGAGGGACATTAAAGATCATCCACTTCTGACCCCTCTGCTAGGGGACACCTTCTGTTAGACCAGGTTGCCCAAAGTTCCATCCAGCCTGACCTTGAGCATTTCCAAGTATGAGGCAGCTTCCCTGGGTAACCTTCTCTGGGCCAGTACCTCACTGCCCTCTCAGTGAAGAATTTCTTCCTAATATCAAATCTATGAAGAAAACTGTCCAAACTTCTCCAATTAGCAAGCAGTAGAACAAGGAGATGGCCTCAAGCTGCTCCAAGGAGGTTTAGCTTGGACATTTGGAGAACTTTCCACACTGAAAAGATTATCAAGCACTGGAACAGACTGCCCAAAGCAGTGGTTGAGTCACTGTCCCTGAAGGTATTTCAAAGATGTGTAGATGTGGCACTTGGGGACAC